TCCGATATGAAGAGATCCGGGAATTGTTCACAATCAGTTTTGGTTTCACTATTATGAATAATTTGGCATCATTCACAGGGCTTGGCCTTCTGACCAGTTCATTCCTAAATCCAAACAGTTTGTGAACAAACCCAAGAAACAATGCACACACAATTCTTTTGGGTCTCCTATCCTTGTTTTTTCTATGCAGAACATTTAAGATTAGCCATTTTCAAAAGAAGAATTTGTGGTTTCAACTCGAGCCAGGGTTGGACGAGAATAAATAAAAAATGAGATCCAAACAGTTATGAGGAAGGAAGAATATTTAGTATATACTTACACTTTCAGATGCCTTGGTTATTTTTTTTTACCAATGTATGTTGGTTGGGTAATTGAGAATTGTGGCTAAATGACTATCCTGATATGTGGCATCTAAATTGCATTTGTTGGAAACGGATAAATTTTGGTTAAATATGTCTAGGATAATGTTCTCTCTCTCTTCCCCCTCTCTTTCTCTCTCTCCCGCTCTTTCTCCTTCCCTCTCCTTCGCTCCCCTCTCTCTACCTCTCCCTCCATTCCTTCCTCCATCCCTTCGTTCCTCTTTCTCTCATTCTCTCTCTCCCCCCTCTCTCCCCCTCCCCCTCTCTCCCCCTCCCTCCATCCCTCCCTTTTTCTCTCCCTCTTACCCCTCTCCCTCCATCCCTTCCTCTTTCTCCCTCCCTCTGTCCCTCCCTCTTTCTCTCCCCTCCCCCTCCCTTCGTCCCTTTCTCTCATTCTCTCCCCCTCTCCCTCCCTCCCCCCTCTTGCCCTCCCTCCCTCTTCCCCTCCCTCTCTCTCCCTCCCTCCCTCTTTCTCTCTCTCCCTCTCCCCCCTCTCCTTCTCCCTCCATCCCATCCTCTCTCTCTCTCTCTCTCTCTCTCTCTCACACACACACACACACACACACACACACACAAATTTAAGCCAAAACCAACAAATCACATTATCATTTAGCATGATATGTAAATATGCCTTAAATGTTTAATTTAATTTAATTAAATTTAATTTAATTTAATTTAATTTAATTTAATTTTCCTCAACCATCGAAACCATTAAAACATCCCTCAACACCATATTAGCATCCCTGGACGCCGTAAAAGAAAGAATAACTAACCTTGAAAAAAAAGACACAACACAAAAACCTGATCATCAAATAGCCACAAACCACATCTCCACCCAACAACCACAATCCAATCCAAAACCCAATCCACAGATAAACGCAACCCAGACAAATATTGATATCCCAATCCTCATCAGAGAAGCTGTTGAGCGTGAACGGAAACGTCCAAACGCCATCTTATTTGGACTAGAAGACAGCATTGTCAATGATGACATCACAACTGTCCGAAACATCATCAGAGATTACCAAGCATCAACCATCTCCGGCGATGAAATACTTGACATTTCCCGCATTGACCGAGAGCTTAAAAATAGAGACGGCTCTGTGGCCCCACGCTTGTGCAGGATCATTTGCAAAAATGAATCAAGCAAACGTAAACTCATTTACACTATAAACTCACTCGCCAAAACCAACACCAACCACAAAAACCTCCGTTGCCGCCCTGACTTAACCATACAGCAACGTGCCCGCTCCCGTGCACTCCGCATCGAACTCAAAACCCGTCTAGACAATGGAGAGAAGGACCTGTACATTGACTACCATGCTGACTGCATCAAAAGTAAGACACGCAACCCAATACCCAACTTTTACCCTCAACCACTACCCTACCTCAACCACCTACCACCACCCACCACCACCCAAAACTACCCACCACCCACCATCACCCAAGACTAGGCACGCACGCCCCCAACTACCTCAATCCCAACTGCTGCCGGACTTAAATGCAAACTACTCAATGCAAGAAGCCTCGTGAATAAAATACCTGAATTTCTCATCCTCTTAAATATGGCTAACTTTGACATTATATTTGTCTGTGAAACATGGCTCAATGCATCTCTCCCCGACTCCATTACCACAGTAAGAGACTATCATGTTTACCGATCAGATCGTGAAAATCGTCGAGGAGGTGGTGTTGCTATATTCTACAAAAAATCCTTACATCTAAAAAATATCCAAGTTACCCAGGAGCTTGCCCTTCCTGAAACCATCATCTGTGAACTATCCTTAAATATCACAATTCGATTCTTACTATGTTACAGAGCACCTGATTATGACATCGAACATATAAACAAGCTAAATACACTACTAACATGGGCTACATCCTGCCCATACCCTTTTATCTTTCTTGGAGATTTCAATCTACCTCATATTGACTGGACCCTAAATAATTGTACAACTGAAATCATACACACAACCTTCTTCAATGCTATTACAAATCTAGGTCTTGAACAACTAGTAACCAACAACACTAGACTGAACAACTGCCTCGATCTCATCTTCTGCAATAGTTTGAATTTAATTTACCGAATACAAACCAAAGAACCCTTTTCCAGTAGTGATCACAATATGATTGACTTTTGCCTCAACATACGTCCACGCAAAAATCACCACAACGATGTCATCCCTAGTTGTAACTTCAAAAAAGGCAATTATGATCTTATAGATAACGATCTCTCATCCCTCGATTGGCAATCTCTATTCACTGGATGCAATACTGTTGAAGATCATTACAACATATTTTTACTTGAAGTCAAAAGAGTCATCAAACTATATGTTCCAACAACAACTCCAAAAACAAAACAAAAAAGCAGATTACCCATATCAATAAGGAAACTTCAATCCAAAAAGAGATCACTCTGGCGGAAAAACAAATCTGGTCACGTTGCTAATTTCAAAAACCGATATAAAAATTTATGCCACCAGATAAAGACCGAATGCACCAATTACCACATTAAACAAGAGGAAAACCTTCTAAGCACCAATTCCACCCGTGCTTTTTACAATTTTGTAAACAACAAACTAAAAGACTCAAGGTCCATCCCTCCCTTGATAGGACCTGATGGTAAAGACTGCAGCGACGACACCATTAAAGCCAACATCTTTAACACATTCTTCGGCTCAGTGTTTGTAAACAGTAATGGATCATGCCCAATGTTTCCTAGCCGTACCACAGACAACAATAATGATCTAATACATATCGATTTTACAGTAGACAACGTTGAAAAAGCACTACGCAACCTAAAACCATCTCTATCTATTGGACCGGATGGAATATGTGCCTACTTCTTAAGAAAACTATCCGCTGCCATAGCCAAACCTCTAAGCATAATCTTTGAAAGATCTTTCAGAACCAGCTCCTTGCCCAACCTATGGTTACAAGCCACAGTCATTCCCATCTTCAAAAAGGGAGACCCAAGCCTAGTTGAAAATTACAGACCAATCTCCTTATGCTGCGTCACCTGTAAAGTCATGGAATCAATTATTAACCAATCCATCATCCTCCATTTAGAGACAAACAACCTACTCTCCAATAAACAATTTGGTTTCAGAAAAAAACTATCCTGTAATCTGCAACTCTTACACTGCAAAAACATATGGACTACTCAACTCGACCAGGGCAAAGCAATAGACGCAATCTACATAGACTTCTGCAAAGCCTTTGATTCAGTGGTACACGACAAACTACTCCTAAAAATAAAATCTTATGGTATCTCTGGACAACTGAATAACTGGATAGAAGCATTCCTGTCAAACAGACAACAAATGGTCAAAATTGGGAACGCCCTATCAAATCCAGTACCAGTCAATAGTGGTGTTCCCCAAGGCAGTGTTCTAGGACCAACTCTCTTCATAATCTACATAAACGACCTTTGTGATCATATCAAGAGCAATTGCGTTCTCTTCGCTGATGATGTAAAGCTGTTCAATACCACAGACAATACTTCTACCCTTCAAAAAGATCTAGACTATGTATCTGAATGGTCTAACATATGGCAACTCCAAATCTCAACAAATAAATGCTCTGTCTTACATATTGGTAAAAAAAATCAGAAAATAAAATACAAGCTGAATAGTCAAGATCTTGTTGATGACCCAAGCTCTGTAAAGGACCTGGGAATACTCACCTCTAATGATCTAAGTGCTAGAGCTCACTGCAACTACATAGCCAAAAAGGCATTAAGAGTTGTTAACCTAATCCTACGTTGCTTTTTCTCTGGTAATATTTCACTACTAACCAGAGCATACAAAACATTTGCTAGACCAATACTCGAATACAGTTCATCAGTCTGGAATCCTTATCACGTATGTGATATTAACACAATTGAGAAAGTCCAGAAGTATTTCACAAGAAGAGTTCTCCACTCTTCTACCCGTTATAGAATACCTTACGCCACCAGACTCGAAATTCTAAAACTAGAAAACCTCGAATTACGCCGTCTTCGGTCCGACTTAAGCATGGTATATAAAATCATACATTGCAATGTCCTACCTGTCAATGAATACTTCAGCTTTAACCATAACAACACAAGAGCACACAACAGATACAAACTCAAAGTAAACCGCACCAAACTTGATTGCAGGAAATACGACTTCAGCAATAGAGTGGTCAATGTCTGGAATACTCTACCCGACTCTGTAGTCTCTTCCCCAAACCCCAAAAACTTTAACCTTAGACTGTCTACTATTGACCTCACCCCTTTCCTAAGAGGTCTGTAGGGGGCGTGCATAAGCGCACCAACGTGCCTACCGTCCCTGTCCTATTGTTTCTCTTATTCTTTTATTTTTCTTATATGTACCCATTTCATATATTCACAACTATGTATACACTTGTACTTATTATCTTGTAAACAATTGACAAATCAAAATAAATAAATAAATAAAAAATAAATAAAATCCAACAATGATTATTTAAAAAAAGGAATGGTCAGTGATTGAGGAATAGAAATTTCAATTGCTTGCTTGTATGTGGGAACATTATGCTTATCTGAATCCACAAGTATGCCTGTTCATTTTACTGTGATTTTGTAGCTAACATATTTTGGATTGCAATTAAGATTTCTTCTTCTTCTTTTTACTTTAGGCAAATTCTCAAGATGCTTAAAACCCACAATGCTGATGTGCATCTTTCAAAGGTTGGCTTGAAAGCATTAAATCTGCTTCTTTCTTCAGGTGCGTAATTTTTCTTAAAATGTATAGGCACATGATATAATGTTAGTGGTTCAAGACCTTCATTATTCTCTGCCTGTTTATTGTTCTTCAAACCCTTGCATATGAAACGATGGGGGGGAAAGAATATTCTTTTTAATTTGTATATTTTGATGGGTTGATTAAATGCTACTACTGCCGACTCTTTTGAGGTAGAACTTTGTGGGGTCCTTGGTACTGTCTGACTTGGTGGTTTTCTTGCAGATGTTTCATTACCAAAGCAGGTAACATATTATCATCCCTGTTATCTTTGTCCCCTACTGGTTCCAGTAGAGTGTAGTGGAATGGAACGGATGGAACGGATGGAACAAAACAGAATATAACAGAACAGAACAGAATAGAATAAATGGAATGGAATGGAAAGGAATAGAAAATAAAATAGAAAATAGAATAGAAAATAGAACAGAAAATAGAACAGAAAATAGAATAGAAAATAGAATAGAAAATAGAATAGAAAATAGATTAATAGAAAATAGAATAGAATCTATGAAATGGAGCGAGTGGAGTGGAGTGGAGTGGAGTGGAGTAGAGTAGTAGAGTAGAGTAATAGAGTAGAGTAGAGTAGTAGAGTAGAGTAGAGTAGAGTAGAGTAGGGTAGAACAGGGGTCTCCAACCTTGGCAACTTTAAGAGTTGTGGACTTCAACTCCCAGAATTCTTCAGCCAGCATTCCTGGCTGAGGAATTCTGGGAGTTGAAGTCCACAACTCTTAAAGTTGCCAAGGTTGGAGACCCCTCGAGTAGAGGAGTAGAGTAGAATAGAGTAGAGTAGAGTAGAGTAGAATAGAGGAGAACAGTACAGTACAATACAGTACAGTACAATATAATACAATGCTCAATTAACAACCATTTCACTTAGCAACCAAAAATTTTGGGCTCATTGGTGGTCATAAGTGAAGGACTACCTGTACTTCTCTGGGAATAATACTTTTAGATATATATATGGATTTGTATTGATGAAAGCAAAATGAACACGATACTTGTAAGCCAATGATCTCCAGAGTTTTCCTTGTATCGTTTAGATGAAATCACACTTCTTCTCTTAGAGGAAGGGACTGATATATTTCTATTGATATTTGATGCCATGGATACTTTTCCTGATCATGAAAAGATCCAGAGATACGGATGCAAAGCTTTGCACATGCTTTTAGAAAAAGGTAAGCTGTAGAGTCGTCTGCATACATTTTCACAGTTGTGGTATTGCTTCGTAAAGCCGGTAAGAAGGTTACAAGACCCCCAGGGACAAGGGGAGAAAAAAAAATTAATAATACTATCACTAAATTCTCAATAGGATCCTTTTAGTCTCTGATTTTCCATGCACTGTTTTGTCTAACCCGGGGGTGTCAAACTAGATTTCTTTGAAGCCCGGATCAACATTTTAGTTGACATTTTAGTCCACGGGCCGGCTGGGAGGGGAGGAGGAGAGGGGACAGACACCCCCAGCAGCACCCTGTGTTCTGACCCAAACCTTGGAAACAAACACCAAAGTGAGGTAACAGCAAAACCTTTTATTGATTCTTTACAAATTCCGTGCCTTCACAATTAAAAGGCTGTTTCAAACTAATTGTCTCTGATAAGAACGAGCCTTGCCAAGGTGGTGCAAGGCTGCCAAGAACACGAGATAAAGTTGCCAAGAAATATTTCAAACACAAAGAGTCTCCAAACACAAACTAAGAGAGTCCGAGCGTCCACAAGGCTTGAGTGCAAGAACTTCTTTGCTTCCTGCAAAGAACTCTGGTTTCTCAGCTGGCTTTTATCTCTTAAGGGAGGGGCCATTAACTTGCAGCCTCACTTCTGAGTTGCCCATGCTGCTGCAGCTGCTCTTTCCTTCGAGCAGCTCTGCACGCACACGCACAGGCTCCTCGGGGACCACCTCATCGCTGCTGCCAGCCTCCACAATCTCTGAAGGCAGCATTCCACTCCCTGATGGTCCTGGCCCCATCCCTGCATCACATGCAGGCCCCTCATCTGAGTCCTCGCTTTCTGAGATCTCAGCCATCCACACCTGCTGCCGGTGAATCACAACACCCTGCCGGCCAAAATGGCCCGCCCATGCCCTGTTTTCGGCCCGGACAGCGTCCTGCAGCATCTTGCCGGCCAAAACGGGGTGGGGGGGTGGGAGGGCCGTTTTGGCCATCAGGATGTTGCAGGAGGCCTTCCAGGTTAAAAATGGGGGAGCAGGAGGGCCGTGTGTTGCCCCCCGTGCCCCGTTTTGGCTGCCCATGGACCAGTCCTTTGCTATTTCCAGGCCGACCCCGTGGGCCAGATTTAAGGCCTTGAGTTTGACACATACACCCCGGTCTAACCAGTTGAGAAGACAAATGCTTTCTGAATCTGAGACTCTGCAATTTTAGGTTAATGTCAGAGATGGTTCTCACCTGGTCAGAGGCAAAAAACAACCTGCTATCAGATCCGACCCAATTCAAAAACAAGAAAAAATGATGGGAACTGGGCCTCGTGTCCAAAAGAGAAGTATATTTAACTTTTTGCATAGGTCAGAGAAGGAACAGAGAAGCAAAGGATTTTAAATACCAAATTCCATGTAAATAAGGCTCTCGTTTTAAGGGACGTGGTGGCTCAGTGGCTAAGACGCTGAGCTTGTCGATCAGAGAGGCCGGCAGTTCGGCGGTTCGAATCCCTAGCGCCGTGTAACAGAGTGAGCTCCCGTTACTTGTCCCAGCTTTCTGCCAATCTAGCAGTTCGAAAGCACGTAAAAAATGCAAGTAGAAAAATAGGGACCACTTTTGGTGGGAAGGGAACAGCGTTCCGTGCACCTTCGAAGGCGTTTAGTCATGCTGGCCACATGACCATAGAGACGTCTTCAGACAGCACTGGCTCTTCAGTTTTGTAACAGAGATGAGCACTGCCCCCTAGAGCCGGAAATGACTAGCACGTATGTGCGAAGGGAACCTTTACCTTTTACCTTAAGGCTCTCATTTAATATGCTGGAATTCTTTTATAATGTTCTTTTTTAAACTGTTGTGGTTGGTTTATATGTGTGTGGGGTTGTTTTTTGTTTGAAACTCAAGGCAACTTCATCATGCACCCTTCTTTCATTTTTACTCATAACGATCACCCTATATTATAGGTTGAACTGAGCAGCAATGACTAAGTTGTAAGACAGGGGTATCAAATTCAAGGCCAGACATGGCCCGCAGGATGCTTAGATCTGACCCGTGGGGCCAGCCTGGAAATAGTACAGGACTGGCCCGCAGTGCCTCTTCTAGTGAAAGCAGGGCATGGGGGCCCCATGTCTGCCCCATTTTTGGCCAGGACTGCTTCCTGCAGCACCCTGCCAACCAAAATGAGCCCCCCCCCCCGTTTTGGCCAGCAAGAGGCTGAAGGTGACCACCCAGGCCAAAAACAGGGTGCGTGGAGGTTCCCCATTGCCCCCCCCCCCCATGCCCCATTTTCACCAGCAGGGTACTCCAGGAGGCTGGCGGTCCTGCCTCCACCCCCAAGCCAGCCCACAAAGGACAACTACAATTCTGATCCAGCCCTCCAAGAAATCCAGTTTGACAGCCCTGTTGTGAGCCACTCAAAAGAGGTTCTTTTAAAGAACTGTGGCGTCTTCCAGAAGCTTCTATTTTCCACTTGCTTATGCAAAGCGTAGAGCTTAAAACCAACCCAATCACAATTTTATAGGGTTGCAACCTTAACGTGCACATCTAAAGGCCTTGACAAATCTTTCGCCCACGACTATAAATAACTTAAGAATTAAATAAATAGTTATTCCCTAAGTTTACTTGCACGGCGATCAACAGATCTGAGAGGGAATGGCGTTTCAAGACATTCCCAATACAGCCGTGTAAGAAGATCTTGTGGTTTAAGAAACGGCCCGGGCTACACAATTAATCAGGGAAATAATATTGTGCCTTGAATTAAGAAGGTATCTCTCGGTTAGAGCAGGTTGGTGCTAGGAACATTCTGTCCTTCAATAAAGAAGGAAGAATATTCAACTTTCTGGGCATTAACACTCTGTGGTATTTAAGGAGCATAAACTATTCTAAGTATCTTGCAGGTTTAGCAAAGTCATTATTGCACACTACACTTTCGTGGAGTAGTTATCGAAGTCTTTCAAATTTCACTTTAATGCAGCTCTGCGTTTGCCCAGTTGCCCTTAACAGTTTTCTGACCTAGGCTTCCCAAAATCACAAGGCAGACTCCTCGTCCCGACAAAACCCCTTTTTATTTAGGCTAATGTCAATTCCTCTCATTCATATCTGGCAAAGTCCCGGCAAACAGTCTTTCAAGGGTAAATTGCAACCACAGACCTTTTTTCAGGCTTGGAGAATTGCCAGGCCAATATTTCCAAACTCTGTAGCAGACAATACTTGGCAAGGAGTCACGAACAGATCTTCATCCTAATTAAACAAACTAATTGTCTCCTGCAAACACCACTCCCCTTTTACTCCTCTTTATTCCCTATGGGAGGGACCGTTCACCGTCCACCTGTGCCTTTACTCCCAAGTCGAACTTTGTTCCTTAACTGTTCCCTTCTTCTGGCAGCTCTGCGCATGCGCACATCGGGAACAGGCTCCAGCTGTTCTTCTGCCCCACTGATCTCTGTTGGACGGCCCTGGCCCTGTCTCTGCTTCTGATGCAGAGCCCTCGTCACAGCCCTCCCCAGACTCCGGGACTGGCCCATGTTCCTCCCCAACCTCCTCACTCTCCGAGTTTGCTGCCAGCTCTGCTGGCTGCTGGCGGGCCACAACAAACATGGCTGAGAAACAGCAGAAAGGAGAGAAACTTTTATTTAATCTCACAGTTTTGATGTAAACTTATCAACCAGTATTGAGTTAGGCCTGATGGAAAGGGGAAAATAAATCACTTTTGGACAATGGCTGACCATATTAATTTATGCCCAGGTTTCAGCTCTCGGATACTTAAAGCACACCACAATACAGGCAGTCCTTGACTTTACAACAGCTCATTTAGTAGCCGTTCAAAGTAACAACGGCTCTGAAAAAAATTGACTTAGGACCGTTGTTCACACATAAGTCTATTGCAATATCCCCCGGGAGTCACACGTTCAAAATTGAGATGCTTGGCCGCTGAATCCTATTTATGACGGTTGCGTTGTCCCAGGGTTACGTGATTCCCTTTTGCAACCTTCTGACACGCCAAGTCAGTGGGGAAGCCTGATTCACTCAACAACCGGGTTGCTAACTTAACAAGTCACTGAATGACGTTGGCAAGAAAGGTCGTAAAATGGGGCAAGACTCACTTAACAACTGCCTTGCTTAGCAACAGAAGTTTTGGGCTCCATTGTGGTTGACTTACCGATACAAGCGATCTAGAATTATGTTTCTCCTCTCCTCTTTAAACCTCAAAAGACTCCCATTAGTTCACCCCTCACCTGTCTCTTGTTCAAGAGAGAATATAGATGGCAGAGAGGAGATCTTTGCCTTATACTCGGGGTGGGCCGTGACCAGTTTGCACCGGTTCAAGTGAACCGGTTGTTAATTTTATATCTGGTTTACTATTACAATGACTTGCTGGCCCCACCCACCTCACCACTCCCCTTCCAGGAGTCTCCAAGTGGCCTGTTTTGGATCCCAGGTAAGTGTAGGGCATGCGTGGAGGCTCGTGGGGGGGGGGGGGGGACGGACAAAAAAATGGGCCTCCCGGAAGGTCAGAAACGGGCTTATTTCTGGCCTCCAGAGGGCCTCCGGAGCCCGGGAGGCCGTTTTCCACCCTCCCAGAGGCTTGAGGAAACCTCCAGAGCCCAGGGAGGGTGAAAACGCCCTTCCCCGTCGTGGTGCATGACACCGACTAGGCCACACCCACCATGGCCACCCAGCAACCAGGCAGAGAACCGCTGCTAAATTTTTTGAAGCCCACCCCTGCTTATACTCCTTCTACGTTCTGAATATTGAATCACGTTCATTCCATTATCAAAACGAGGTCTTGACTTGGTTGGTGCCTTTGTCTCGTCATGCAGTTCCCGAGGAGCAACTGATTGAATTTGTCGAGGAGAACGATCACTTGATCATCCTCAAAGTCCTTAAAAAATTCCCCGAGAAGGAAAATGTCATTGGCTTTGCCCTTCGGTCGTTGTACATCTTGGCTGGACCAGGTAAATAGGGTTGTCTTATCAGAAGGTCCTGCTGGGGGAACGGAGCCATGGGTCAGTCGTAGTCCTCCTTGTGCCGGCATTATAAATTGGCCACCCATGAATTTATGAAAGAGTTGTTGAATTGTTAATGATAATTTTAAATTTTAAAACACCAGCATGCACAAATGGGATAAATGTTTTTTCTTACTCAAATTTCCTTTTTATGCTGTTTTTAGTTAGCAATGCGGAAGTTCTTATGTCTGGAAGTGTGCGGTGTTACAATATCATAGTGGAGATTATGAAAGCGTTCCCTGCATGTGAGCCAATTCAGGAAGTCAGCTGCTGCCTGCTACACAAACTTACTCTGGGTGAGTTCTAAATGAAAGGGGAGAGAAGAAGAATGCAAAAGGAACTGCAGGGGAACTCTGTACACTTAATAAAGCTTCTTTCTAAACCATTATCTACCTACCTACCTATCCATCCATCCTCCATCATCTCTCTCTTGCTCCAACCTACCTACCTAA